TTAGCTGGATATATATATATATATATATATTTAAAAGGCTTTTTAAATGTTTTCAATTTGTAAAAAAATTATAAAAAATTATTGGTCATGACCATTGGATGTCAAACCATTGAAACCCATTCTTTTTAATATATATAAAAAAGTTTCAAACGTTTTAAGTGTTGTTTAAAAAAATTATACAAAATTATTGGTCATAGAATATTTTCTCTAAATAGTAGTTTAATTAAATTAAATAATACATAGTTGTGGAATGTATGTGTTGTACCATAGTTTTTCTCAAAATAATAAAATATGAATGACCCTAAAATATAGCCCTGCATGACTAGAGATAGAAAAATTTAGCCATACACTATTCTTTAAACAATTAATATTTTGGAGGGCTAAATTTTTAACCTTGTACTACATTTAGCCCTATGACTGGAGATGACCTTAACTTGCAATTGAACACAATTAATTCAAATGGAAGTTCTGTTAGTTATGGGCTGAATCCTGGAGCAACACCTATTGAGCCTAACACATTAGGCCCAATCTCAGTGACTAAATGAAAGAGACGGGCCCGTGATCTAGCTACAAAATATATTTTAAGTGGAGCTTCCTCATTCCAAGTCCAGGGAGCGCGAGAGACTTTGAAAAGAAGGGAAAAGCACAACAATATGGCTCAATTTATTGGATCAAAGAAACAGAAGTGGGCCAAAGTGGTTCCCGAAAAAATGACGAATTCATAAAGTTCTCAATCCGTGGTGGGCTCAGGTGGTCTGGCCCACAACGAGTCATGATACTATTGAGTTGGAATGTTCGGGGGCTTGGGAACCAATAGACATTCTGTGCTCTGTAGGAAATCCTCAAAGTAAAACGGTTTGGTTTTCTTGTTGGAAACCAAAATGAATGTGTATCAGATGGAAGGGTACGAAAGAGACTTGGTATGGATTATTGCTTTAGTGTGAACATGCCTGGGTTAGGTGGACGTTTAGCCCTTCTCTGGAATAAAAATTGGACAGTAACCATCTTATCTCACTCTTTGGCTCATATCCATGCTATTATTGTGAAGGCTCCATATGGTTTTTCTTGTAGAGTGACAGGGTTTTATGGACATCCTGTGACGAATTAGCGGCATCATTCTTGGGAGCTTCTTCGACGTCTATCTCAGGTGGGGTCGGGTCTCGGATTTGCTGTGGTGATTTTAATGAAATTTTGGAAGATAAAGAGCAGCTTGGTAGTGGATTTAGAGCTTTGTCTCAAATGGTGGACTTTCGACATGCTTTGGAAGACTGTGATTTGCTGGCTATTCAAGGTTTACAAGTTCACTTGGGATAATGGTAGAGTTGGAATTGAGAATGTTAAGCCCAGCTTGATTGTGTTGTGGAAAATAAGGGATTATGGCAAGCTTGTGCCAATATGATCACTTATCATTTGGATTACTGGGAGTCTGATCATCTCCCTTTGTTAGTTGTGACTGACAACAACTCTTAAAGGAGATGGGTTTCGGAAGAAACGTTTCTTTTTTAAGGAGATGTGGAGTGATGATCATACTAGGAGTGATGTCTGTAAGAAATTGAATGAATGTGCTCATCATTTATCGGATTGGAATAAATCCAATTTTGGGCATGTACCAAAAAAATTGCAAAGGCTTCGAAGTCAACTCGCTGAACTGCATCATGTGTTTCCTTCCGAACATATCATCCAACAAAAGGCTTTGTTGCAATGTGATATTGATTGCCTTTTATTAAAGGAAGAAACTCTTTGGCGACAACCATCTCGAGTGTCTTGGTTGCAGAAAGGTGATCATAACACGCGTTACTTCCACAATTATGTGAGGTAACGAGGTAGATGAAATTAGATTAATGGTGTTTTTGATGTCAATGGGATTTGGAGGCAGAATACAGAGGAGATTGGGGATACTTTCAACAATCATTTTGCTGAGTTAATTGAAGCTATTCCTTCTTCAGTTAATGATACTATGAATGATATGCTTATTAGTGAATTTATACGTGCAGAGTTAGAAGCTACTCTTGCTCAAATGATTCCTACAAAAGCACTAGGCCCTGATGGTATGCCAGTACTTTTTTTTCCAGAAATATTGGCATATTATAGGTGACATAGTCACTTCTACATGCTTACAAGTTCTGAATGGTAATGGGAGTGTCAAACAGTTTAACCACACTCTAATTACTCATCATTCTCATGTGTCAGATTATAGGCCAATCAGTTTGTGTAATGTTCTTTATAAATTGGTGGCCAAGACTCTTGCCAATCGACTCAAGGTGGTTTTGCCTCATGTTATATCAAGTTTTCAGAGTGCATTTGTGCCTAATCTTCTTATCACCGACAACATTATTGCTGCTTTTGAAACAATGCATGCCATTAAGAGAAGAGGGCGAAGGGGAAGGAAGAAGATTGTTTTAAAATTAGATATGTCAAAAGGTTATGACCAAGTTGAATGGACTTATCTTGCTACTATGATGGCTAGAATGGGTTTTCATGTTAGATGGGTCTCTATGATTTTGGATTGTATTTCGTCAGTATCCTACTCAGTTTTATGCAATGGTTTCCCATTTGGTCATATTGTTTCTCAACGTGGTCTTCACCAAGGTGATCCACTCTCACCATATTTGTTTCTTATTTGTGCCGAAGGTTTCTCAGCACTTATAAGGAGGGCACAATTGCGATTCATGGAGTGGCTATAGCTAGGGGAGCACTTTCTATGACTCATTTGCTTTTTGTTGACGATAGTTTATTATTTTGTGATGCTAATATGTTTGAATGTCAGAATCTAAAACACATTTTTGACATATATGAGAAGTCCTCAAGGAAAAAAAATTAATTTTGCTAAATCTGTAGTCTCATTTAGCTCTTCTGTAGATGTCAATGACCAGCAAGCTATCTCATCTTTACTTGGAGTTCCTGTAGTGATTTGTCATGAGTCTTATTTGGGACTCCCTTTTATAGGCACTTAGAACCCTAATTCTATCAATCTTCCATTCATACTTTTCCTTTGCTTCTTTCTATTCACTCCTTTTCGGTGAAATTTCTTTAACCAGAGCGCTAGGGTCCTAGGCTCTTTGGGGTTCCAAGGTTTTTTTGTGTTGCTGGACCTCCCCATGGGGGTGAGGCGCCACTTGTTTTCTTCCTTGGTTTTCAAATTAGAGCTCACAGAGGAAAAGAGAATGGTAGAGTCTTTTGTCCAATGGGTATTTCCCCTACACATATGGATTTCCTTTGGTACTTGTAATGGCTTCTCGTTGACCATTATGGAGCTTTGACAAGGGTGGAATACGATGCTAGATTTTTACAAGGTGTTGGCCTGGGCTTTGTTTACAATATTTGGTACTCTATTTCCAGAGTCCTGTGGGTTTTTGTCAAGCTGCTGGAAGTAGTCAATTTGTTTCATTTTGGGCATTTTAACTGATTTGGGTTTGTCTAAGTGTTGCAGCAAACTATTAGATGTTCCCCTAGGGCACTTTTTTTCCTCTCTCATGCTAACCCATGTGTTTGGGCCCGAGGAATGGGCTTGAGTTTTAGTGCTCCAAAGTGGCCTAAAACTTTCATTCCTTGAACCCTCAATAGGCCTTGTGAGTGCTTGTTCCCGTCCATACCACAACCTTCTCAACAAGCCCTGGATAATTACGTGGCTTGGGCCAACTTAAGCTTGTATCATGGCTTGGTATTAGAATAGCGGCCTTTTACATTGCATGACGTGTTTATTTAGCATGCTTGTGCTTGAGTTTTAGCGTGTTACTATGAACTACGATCGGGCCATGTAACATTGGATAAATTAGTAAGCGTGAATTTATAGAGCCGGTGCGTTTTGGCCTTTTTGTGTGGCGGGCGTGCACGTTTGCTTGGCGTGACGTGTGGCCTGTGGCTCGCACAGGTGCATCCTACGAATTCTCTTATGTCCTAATTGGGCTCATTTTGCGATCAATTATTTGTGCTAGGCTAAGAATAAACCTAGGCCTAGCCCTTGGATTTTTGGGCCTCAACATTAGCCCCCTTGATTATTGAGGTCATGAGCATATATTGAGATAGGCAAAATAATCAAAGCCAGCCCAAAAGAAAAATCAAATCCACGTTGGTGATATGACCTTCTCGTTTCTCGCGTGTTTGCTGCCATGATTATCTTCCAGCAGTTTTTTACATTTCTCAGGTGCTTCATTAAAAAAATCTATTTTTCCTTTCCTTCTTCTCTTCGTCTTCAATTTCTCTCTTCCGTGGATGCAAACCCAAAGCCCCTTGCTTTCGATTTCGATTTTTGCTAGTTCTTCGTCACACCCAGGTTTGGAGAATCCTTGGAAACGAGAAATCGCTGAGGGGCACCATCCATAACCACTAGTTGGTTAAGCGCGGAGAAACCGTTTGCAACCACTAGGAGTCAATTCATCGAAGGCCAAGTTTGACAAGGTCACTTCGCGAGGCGTCGAGCAACTTGGAGAGAAAATCGCAAGGCAGTTCCCTCTTCTCTCGATTTGACAAGCTTTTGGAAAAGACACAATCGAGGGTAGTGGTAAGCATCGTTTCTCTTTTTCTTCTCCTGTTTCTTCATCTTGTCAACTCATATATATATATATACATATGCATATGGGGGCATTCACACATATATATTTTGAGAGTCCTTCACAAAAGGGCCATTTGCTGTTTTCTTCAGTCCTTCTTGCTGCATGTTCGTTTAA